TGTAAAATAAAAGAAAAATTAAGTAGATATAGAGTAAATAAGTGAAAGTAAATATAGATTAGAGTATTATTATACAGACCAAGGGACTCATTTATAGATTATTTATGTATTTAACTCATTATAAAACATTAAAATGGGCTGAGTATTGTGACTCATACCTGTAATCGCAGTGCTTTGGGAGCCTAAGGGGAAAGGATTGCTTGAGGCCAGGAGTTTGAAATCATCTTGAGCAACACAACGAGACCCCCATCCCCACAAAAAATTTAAAAATTAGCCTGATGTGGTGGTGCACACTTGTAGTCCTAACTACTGTAGACCCAGGAGTTCCAGGCTGCAGTGAGCTATGATCACACCGGTACACTCCAGCCTGGGCAGGCGACAGAGCAATACCCTGTGTCTAAAAAGAACAAGGCTGGGAGTGGTGACTTATACCTGTATTCCTAGCATTTTGGGAGGCCAAGGTGGGAGGATCGCTTGAGCCCAGGATTTTGAGACCAGCCTCGTTAATATAGTGAGACCTCATCTCTATAAGTTTAAAAAATTAGCTGGGTGTAGTGATGCGCACCTGTGGTCCCAGCTACTCAAGAGACTGAGGCAGGAGGATCACTTAAGTCGGGAGTTTGAGGCTGCAGTGAACTGCGATCATGCCACTGTCCTCTAGCCTTGGGTGACAGAACGAGACCATCTGTAGAAAACACAAATAAAATAAATTTAACACCACCCCCTCAAAAAAACCATTAAAAATGGTTCCTATTGTTTATTTACTAAACTAAAAGGAGTTTTAATAATTAAATGGACTACATAAAACTTTTCAAATTGTTTGGAGCAATTTAAGTAGAGGCGCAAGTTATTCAGTTAGAATGGTGTTTCCTTATCTGGTTATAGCTGACCTTTATATAGGCCTTTTAAATTTAGAGGTCAACTGATAAATGTTGGCTTTGCCTCTCAACAGTTTGTTGTCTTTTGTTTCTTCATGGTGGAAGGAATTTAAAGTAAACTTTAAAATTTTAAACAAATTATTATAAATTGGATAATGGGAGATGTTACTTTTCTGTTTCCCAGTGTTGCTAAAATTAGTAGGTATTTATCACCAGGAAAAATATTTAAAAAATTAATATAAATAACTTCTAGTCGTGTTAATAGAACTAGAAACAGTTTATGTGTCTTCCAAGTTACCTATGATGTGGGGAGGAGGTAAAGATAAAAGGAGAAGAAACAAACAATAAAACAGAAAGCAAGTAGCAAGGAAACATTCCAAAATAGGAAAAAATTACATGACAAGTTAAACCAGATTTGTTGTAACAATAAATATAAGTGGGATAAGCTCACCTTGTACAATCAGAAGGCTTGCTGCAATGTTTTTTTCAAAAGGTATAAAAACATACTTTGTTTTATGATACACATAAAAAATCTTTTAAGAGCTTGTAAATGAAAGGGTGGGCATACCATGCAAATTAACAGAAAGAAAGCAGAAAGGGGTCATAATAGTATGATAAAATTTAAAAAATAATTAATGGGACAAATTATAATAGTGATGCATATAAGCTGTAATGTTGATGTCAATAATCTATATGTACCCTTTGCCATTACGTAATGGCCTTCTTTGTCTCTTTTGATCTTTGTTGGTTTAAAGTCTGTTTTATCAGAGACTAGGATTGCAACCCCTGCTTTTTTTTCACTTTCCATTTGCTTGGTAGATCTTCCTCCATCCCTTTATTTTGAGCCTATGTGTGTCTCTGCACATGAGATGGGTCTCCTGAATACAGCACACTGATGGGTCTTGAATCTTAATTCAGTTTGCCAGGCTGTGTCTTTTAATTGGGGTATTTAGCCTATTTACATTTAAGGTTAATATTGTTATGTGTGAATTTGATCCTGACATGATGTTAGCTGGTTATTTTGCCCGTTATTTGATGCAGTTTCTTCCTAGCATCGATGATCTTTACAATTTGGCATGTTTTTGCAGTGGCTGGTACTGGTTGTTCCTTTCCATGTTTAGTGCTTCCTTCAGGAGCTCTTGTAAGACAGGCCTGGTGGTGACAGCATCTCTCAGCATTTGCTTGTCTGTAAAGAATTTTATTTCTTCTTCACTTATGAAGCTTAGTCTGGCTGAATATGAAATTCTGGGTTGAAAGTTCTTTAAGAATGTTGAATATTGGCCCCCACTCTCTTCTGGCTGCAAATCTAAACCACAACGAGATACCATCTCACACCAGTTAGAATGGCGATCATTAAAAAGTCAGGAAACAACAGATGCTGGAGAGGATGTGGAGAAATGGGAACGCTTTTACACTGTTGGTGGGAGTGTAAACTAGTTAAACTATTGTGGAAGACAGTGTGGCAATTCCTCAAGTATCTACAGCTAGAAATATCATTTGACCCAGCGATCCCATTACTGGGTGTATACCCAAAGGATTATAAATCATGCTACTGTAAAGACACATGCACAAGTATGTTTACTGCGGCACTATTCACAATAGCAAAGACTTGGAACCAACCCAAATGTCCATCAATAATAGACTGGATTAAGAAAATGTGGCACATAAATACCATGAGAGACTATGCAGTCATAAAAAAGGATGAGTCCATGTCCTTTGCAGGGACATGGATGCAGCTGGAAACCATCATTCTCAGCAAACTATCACAAGGACAGAAAACACCGCGTGTTCTCACTCCTAGGTGGGAATTGAACAATGAGAACACTTGGACACAGAGCAGGGAACATCACACACCGGGGCCTGTCGTAGGGTTGGGGGAACTGGGGGAGAGATAGCATTAGGAGAAATACTTAATGTAAATGACGAGTTAATGGGTGCAGTAAACCAACATGGCACATGTATACCTGTGTAACAAACCTGCACATTGTGCATATGTACCCTAAAACTTAAAGTATAATAAAAGAAGAAAAAAAAAAGAATCTATATGTGATAAATAATATAGAACTAAAATATAAAGGTCAAAAACGTGCAAAGAATAAAGAGAATTTTTAGAACTCAATAGTAGTTTAAAGATTTTAGAGTACTCTTCTAAGTCTGTAACAGATAAAACTGATAACTATTCCTATATTCTATAATTTAATTCAATTGATATATAAGACAAGGACCTATATATTCTGAAAATAAAATACCTTCTCTTTGATTTATGAAATGTTTATAAGAAATTACCATGTTTTTGGTCACAGGGAAAATTTCAGGTAATTCCAAAGAGTAGAAATGGGTTCCACTGGATTCTCTGCCTTCAGTACAATACAATTGGAGCTAAAGTAATACAGATAAAGAGGAACTCTGGTAATTTTCAGATCTTTTCTTACAATTCTTGGGTTAAAGGAAAAAATAAAAACTGTAGTTCTAAGCTATTATCTGCATAATATGATAACATGCATTTTGTTCTGTTTTTCTGGTAAACTAATTATTCTGATTTCAGGAAGGTAAAGGACAGCATTCAGTAATAAATGTTTCTTCACTCTCTGTAAAGAGGAAGGCATTTTTGATGTGAGATATGACTCTGAAAAGACTCTTAGCCTTGGGAACCTGTAAATCTGCTGGATCTATCATAGAATGCACATTAGTAGTACATTATTTAGGATGGATATATGGAAAGTCCTCTATAGTTTCCTTATAGATTCGGTATTCAGTGTGATTAATTTTTAACAGAGATACTTGTGATACCCCTATGGAAAGGAGAAGTTATGGCAGATTGATTGAACTGTGTATAATGTCTAGAGATTTTGGGTTCTTTTTACCTCTGTCCCTTGTTTGCGTCTCTTGTTCAGTGTCCCTCTAGGCCTCAAATTCTTCGTCTGTGAATGAGGAAGTTGGATTAAAATATAAAGTTATTTATGCATGTTATTTTTGTATAGCTGTGAATATATTTATTAAGTGAGTACTGAATGTTGACTCCTATTTAGTCTGTAGGGTTTAAACTTATGCTCTGATGGGGGAGAGAAACAGGTTTAGGGTGCCCTGAAAGCAGAGATAGGCAAGTATATCTTGGAAGGGGAGAGGAAAGGGCATTGGGGAAATTTTCACAGAGTCAGTGTGACATCTGAGCTGGTCTTGAAGATAAATGGATTTGTCAAGTAAACAAGAAAGAGAGTTCTAGGCTTAGGAAGTAGAATGTACAGAGGCAGAAAGAGTGTATTTTACCTTTGGAAAAACACAGGCCATTCATGTGATGCTTAGCATGGGATTATGGAATAGCAAGATATTAAACATTGAGGCATATGGCACCCAAATTGTGAAAGCTTATTATGTCATACTAAATAATACGGGTTTTAAATTAAAGACAATGACTAACCATGGAAATGTTTTCTATTTGGGCATGACACTGTAAAATTTAGTTGAAATGGATACAGGGATAGCAGTTAGAAAACTGACAGTTCAGGTGAGACATGAATGAGAGTCTTAATTAAAATAATGGCAGTGAGATTATATGCAGATTTATATAAAATGGATAGGCTTCATAGGGTCTGTGGAAGCCCTGAAAATGTATGTAAGATTTAACATGAATGTATTTTCCTTAGGACATGGTTCATACATTTCTTCTGATCATACAGCAGGGCTATTAGTGTAAATATACATATAATGGGGAAAATTGACAGGATGACATTCTACAAACTATGAAGTTAAAGAACTTTAAATTTTATTTTCTTCACTAATGACTACTCTTTTTTTTTTTTCCTTCACTTTTTGTAGCGGACAGGGCAAAATCTCAGCAAGTTCGAACCTCTAGTACAATAAGGCGAACCTCCTCTTTGGATACAATAACAGGACCTTACCTCACAGGACAGTGGCCACGGGATCCTCATGTTCACTACCCTTCATGCATGAAAGACAAAGCTACTCAGGTAAAAAAAAAAAACAAATCAAAATCAGTTTATTACCCTGCACTTCTTCTGTTTTGATCACAGTAAAGAAAATGTAATATCAAATTTTCCCAAATTTGAAATAAATCCAACCAAGGAAGAAAGGAAAAATCCATTGTTTTAAATAAACTTTGCAAGAGTTGTTTTTTGTTATCTGGGTTTTAGAAGTTTTGAAATTCTTTAATACTTAAATAGCACATCAGTCTATATTACATGGTTTTAGACATTTACATTTATTAATGTCTAAAATTAATAGACATTAATTTTAAGCATTGCTTTGCAATAGCAATTAAAATGACTAGTAATCATTTTAGAAAAATATAATTTTTTTAAAAAGAGTTTGCACAGTTCTTGAAAATAATTTATAAAGTAGTAACACATGCCTAATGAAATCTTGTTGGAGAATTTATTTTTTTCTGTTTAAAACCAAGACTAAAAGCCTTCAGAGGGAAATATAAATTAACTCTCACATTTTCCCTATTTTTGGAAGGATCTCCGAGCTTTTGATTTGAAAAGCTTTTCCTCCATGTCAGAAAAAAATCTGAAAACATCTTTATTCATGATTATCTGAGTTCTTGACCATACCTTCATAACTGTAGTCAATCAACATTTATTGGCATAAAGAAGAATACTAAAAATATAAGAGTTACTCATTGGCTTTAAAAAACCTGGAGCACAGTTAGGTAGATAAGATACACATTTATAAAAATTGGTAAAAGAAGACAGTATATAATTAGATGTTAGATGAATAGAGTATTTAAATGTGAGGGCATTCAAAGGAAAGAACATTTTGGGCTTTGTAGGTTAGGGAAATAGAATAATTAGAGTTTCATGTCTGAAGACTGAGGAAAAAGAAAGTTTTGGACATGATCTATAAAACTCTGCTTCTCAGTTTTTGTCATTTTCGTTCTCAGGCAAGCTTGAAGCTGTGAAATTGGCTGCTTCTTTATTATCTATCTCATCAATTCTGTCCTTGTAATATTTTATGCTGCCCTACTCTTTTGCTTTCCATTCTTCATTTACTGAGGAAGGTGGTAAGTTTAATATGGCAGGCAGTGGAATTTCCAAATAGAAATAACTAGCAAAACTTAGAGGTGTGGACTTGGACAATTAGAGATCTGGACACAGATAATTAATTCAGAACCATCCTTCCAGAGGAGTTAGATTCACAAATATGATAAAATGTAGGTATAGAAAATAAAATTTAAAAATAATAATTAAAAAAAGAAAAAGAAAAATTTTAAAAATGTGGTTATAGAGTATGAAGGAAGAAGGTCAAGTGATAGAGGACTTAGTTTTTGGAAAGGTATACGCACACACACAAAAACTAATGTATTCATCTGAAAGCAGCAAGAGGAGGAGGTAGTTAATATTTATTAACTATGTATGGTGTACTATTTGTTTTATAACTTGTTTCATTTAATTCTCACAAGACCATGGCAACATTACACAGATGGAAAAGCAGTCACTCAGGGAACTTAAATGATTTATCTGGGAGTATAACGCTAGAAAGTGTTGGAGTCAGATTTCTAACACAGGCTAATCTATTAACCAATATAAGCTCCATTTTTATTAAAATAGGATTATAGGATAATACAGACATATATATGTATGTTATGTATATATGTACCTAGTGCTGTGACATTGCACTAAAAAATGGTAGCTATTCTTTTTAGATTGCCAAAAACACTCACAAAAAAACCAACATATGAAATGTAGCTATGTGCTGATGGTGTCCAGAGGGAAACATATTGGTTTTTTTTTTTTTTTTTGAGACAGAGTTTCACTCTTGTTGTCCAGGCTGGATCATGCCCATCATGATCTTGGCTCACTGCACCCTCCACCTCCCAGGTTCAAGCGATTCTTCTACCTCAGCTTCCCGAGTAGCTGGGATTACAGGTGCCCGCCACCATGCCCAGCTAAGTTTTTGTATTTGGTAGAGACAGGGTTTCACCATGTTAGTCAAGCTGGTCTCGAACTCCTGACCTCAGGTGACCCACCCATCTTAGCCTCCTAAAGTGCTGAGATTACAGGCATGCGCCACTGTGCCGGACCCAGAAACACTGTCTTATTCGCTCTTCACAAAAACTCTGAAAAAAGAAGAGAAGCCAGAGAAAGATCGAAAGGCTAAGTGAAAAACTGGAATAGTGAAGGCTTAGAAATCAGAGAGAAAGCTATTCTAAGAAAGGAAAAATTGTTGACAGTATCAGATGCTAAAGAGAGGTCATGGTGATTAAGGACCAGATTTGGGGATCAGAAGCACATTATCTTGGAGAGTGCAGTATTGGAGATAATGGTAGAGTAGGAGACCCAGATATTTGGGAGTTAAGAGAGTGATGTGGAGATAGAAGAAAAGAACACTGGATATGTTTCTTACACATGTCTGGTTTTTTATCTGTGCAGTGGGGTTAATAAAACCTAACCTATGATATTACTATGTGATTAAGTATGATACTATTGAAGGCAAATTTGGCAAACACTATATACACATTTAAGTTGTGAGTAGTATGTGTAGACATGCCCACTTGTAACATTTGCAGGGTCTGCAGCAAATATAAAGGCCAGTATACTATATGTATGTAAGTTAAATTAACAAATTATTGAGTAAAATATACTTTGTCCTCCCCCCCTACCAATGACAAATAATCTTCATATGGACCTGGAAGATGAGGTTTAAACTAAGAATTCTCAGATTCTTCAGAGTTACATGCTGGTGTATATCCACATGGGCCAGGCCCACCAGGCCCACTGGGCCCACCTCGTCTGAGCCTAAGTCCCATTTTCTTCCTACCCTATAATCTATTCTATACTTCAAGCTGACTTTACACATATACTTGGACCCACCAGTCCTCACATTCAAGTGCCATCCTCAAGAAGCAAGAACCAGGGAATGGGTCTGCAGACCTTAGAAGCCAGGCCTACTGCTGTTTGGTCAGGAAATTCCTGGTTTTAGATTACCTGGAGTACAGTCTACAGCCAGGGTGGGCTCATAATGTCCATGCTTTTTGCTCCCAAGGTCTCTTATCCCATGGGGAGGGGCATGGCTGCTAGAAGGCCAGAGTAATTTCCCCTAAATTTTGAGGTCCAGGATAAGGGCTTGTCTGGCTTGCATCTATCTGGATGTAGGTCATTTATTTGAGAAGCTTGACATTGAAAAGAAGGTAAAATATAGGGCTCATTTTACAGATGAGGAACCTGAGGCTTAGAGAAGTTAAGTAATTTATACATCATTACATAGCTGTACATTAATATGTACTATGTACATATTACATAACGATGTAACATACATATTATATATTACATCGTTACGTAATATGTACATCGATGTACATATTACATCGTTACGTAATATGTACGTAGTACATATTAAGTGTGAGGACAGTGAACCCAGACCTGGCTGATTCTGAAGTGTTTCCTTTTTTTCTTCAGCTGTCTGTTGCCTTTTATGGCAACCACTAACCACTAACCTACTTCTTGCCTCACAAGCATAAGAAATGGTCTTGCCCTAACCATCTGTTAGTTTAATTGGAGATACAAGAGATGAACATATGAGACTTTTTATGGCGTCATCCGTTCCTCCTGGATTAACTGTTGAACTCAGGGTGGGAAGAAGTAGTTTTATTTATGTAGTGGAATTATGTAGTGGACATTGATGGAAGGAAGGTGGTATACTCAACTTGCTACAGACATTAAACACCTGGGTTGTTTGGCCTTGGTGGAGGGTGTCTCCAGGGTGTTCTTCCTTTTATATTTCTATGTTTCAGCTCCCTTAATTATTGAGAGCTTGACATAAAAAATTTAATATGTTTAGTATGTTTATATGTTAAAAAGAAGTAGCATAGTGTTGTGAAAAGATTGTAGACTTTGAAAGCAGATCATGTATTCAAATCAAGGCCCAGTGAGGGAACTTTCTGGGATAATGGAAATGTTAATTTAATTTAAAAATTAGTTAATTTTAATTAAGTAAAAATTATATATTAATGGTGTACAACACGATGCTTTGATAGACACACACACATTTGAAATGATTACATCAGTCTATTTAACATATACATTTTTTTATGTGTGGTGAGAACACTTAAAATCTACTCTCAGCAATTTTCAAATATACAATATATTTCACTGTAGTCGTCAAGATATGCAGTGGATCGCTTGAAGCTGTTTCTCATAAGTGAAATTTTGTGTCCTTTGACCAGCATCTCCCAAGGACCCCTAGCCTCTGATAACCACTATTCTACTCTCTATTTCTGTAAGTTAAATGTTGTATATCTTTTTTTTTTTTTTTTTTTTTTTTGGAGACAGGGTGTTGTTCTGTTGTCCAGGTTGGAGTGCAGTGGTATGATCTCGGCTCACTTCAATCTCTGCCTCTCAGATTCAAGCAATTCTTAGGTCTCAGCCTCCCAAGTAGCTGGGAAGTAGCTGGGACTACATGCCCCCGCTACCACGGCCAGCTAATGTTCGTATTTTTAGTAGAGGTGGGGTTTCGCCAGTAGAGGCTGGTCTTGAACTCCTGGCCTCAAGTGATCCACTAGCGTTGACCTCCCAGAGTGTTGAGATTACAGGCTGGAACCACCATGCCTGTCCAGTGTTATATGTCTTAATAGAAGTTTGAGTTATGTTGGTGAATTCATTTATCGGAACTTACCCAAGTGTACACTTGTGCATTTTGCTGTATAACTTTAACTTTAAAAATACAGAATATGAACAGAAAACAAATACTGAACTCAGATGTTTAGAGATGAAGTATACTGCCATCTGCAACTTTGAAATGAATAAAAAATAAGATCAATTGATGGGTGGATACCTAGATAGATACCTAGTGGAGCAAATAGAGCAAAATGTTATTTAGAGAAGCTGAATATTGGCTTTATGGGCCTTCACTGAACAGTGTTTTTTTTGTTTTGTTTTGTTTTTTTAACTGTTCTGTTTGAAATTTTTATTAGTAAAATGCTAAAAAAAAATTCATGGCCCACTGACTTAAC